AAAATGAAACAGACCAGTCAAATAATTTAATTCTTAAATCTACTCTCCCTTGGGCTAATCTCTTCCAAGCCATTCTTTGCTGAGGTCAACTGCTTTTAATTAGCAAGCTTCATTGATCAGGGCAGGAGTGGGAGCTGGTGGGTTGCTGTCCAGGTCTTTTTAATTAGAGGCTTTTCTTCCTTGCTGGAGGAATGGTATTACCCAGAGAGGAACCTGGCAAGAAGGCCTGCAATTGTTTGAAGGAGGCTGACCTACGATCGCCTACACGGCATCTCTCCTGGCAGTGTCAGGGGTTAGCAAATTTTCAAGTGGAGAAAGAGGGAGGAAAAAGAAACAAGCCTGAAAGAAAGTTGTGGTAGCACTGGGAATTACTGTAGAGATACAGTTGCAAGCAGGAGTGTGGGAGTGTGTTTTTTGTCCTTCCTAGGGAAAAGCAGAAAAAACCAAAGGTCATTGCAGACACCTCCAGTTTCCCCAGCATCTTCAGTCTGCTTTCTGAAATGTTGCTGCCCAGCAACGGGAGCAGTGGAGCACCTTTGGGGAGGAGAGTGAAGAATACTTGCTCCCTGCCTTGGAGAGGAGTGCCCTGCAGTCTAACAAGGTAGAGGTTGCTATCACAGTTTTTCCCTCTTACAGTGATTCTCTGGGGCATTAATAGTAGCGTGTTTTTTTTTTTTTTTTCCCTTTTACTGTTCTCTGGGGCAATAATAGTAGGGGTGGGGCTCACCATGTAGCTGTAGCTTTGGGCAGGGGTGGTGATGGTGTTGCTGACTGGCTTCTCTAGCTGGCATCCTCTTAGGGTGGAAGACTGAAAGTGAACCCCTAAAATCTTCCATCCTTCTGAAGGATGACACTTTACTCCTCTTTCCTGTAAATGGAAAACCACTGATATTACCTGATATTATTCCTTCTTTGCTCCATTACCGTTAGTGGTAATTTCTATTAAGTGTAGATGCCCACACTTCAAGGATGTGGATGCACCTGCATCTCTGTTCTCTGCCAGGTCCCCTTGTGCTACGGTTGTCCTGAATTTTGGATGAATTCTGGCACAGGCAGTTGGCTGTGTGGTGATGGGTGCAAATCTATGGGCTGTTGTGATGTGGTTCCTGGGTGACAATGCTCTTGGCTTCTGGGCCTCTGCAATTCATGGTTAAGGAAAATACATCTAATATTAATTAATTAGCACAAATTTGCTATTTTATATGTTTGATCAACTCAGCCATGAAAATTCTGAAATGCAGTTAAATCAAACAGAAAGGAAGTGGCTTTGTATCAAACAATTGAATTAATATAATTATCTTATTGATTAAATCATCAGATCAACCTACAGCTCCTTTATCTGCTTTACTTGGCCACTTGGGAAAGCATCAGCTCTCAATCCCTGAAGCACCATTCTCAGTGCCAATGCCTGCCTTTACATTCCAGTCAGACAGCTGATCTGCAGGTGATCTCCAGCTGAATCTCCCCTGGAGAGCAAGGCTCTGAGGTCCATTACAGCTGTCAACCAAAATTATATATATTTGGGCGAGGTGTGATCTCTTGTATACCCACTCTGTTGTGAATCATAGAATGGTTTGTGTTTCAAGGGACCTTAAATATCATTCAGTTTGTTGTTCCAGGGGTTGAAAGGCTGGTGAGTCATGACTTTGTAGGGTTCCACGTGCCATAGGAACACAGGTACCTGTCTTGCAGGCCAAGGGCTACTTCAGGGGCTGCTTTTGGAGCTGGGGAGGTGCCCTTGAAATGTCTTACCTAATACTTTGTGTGGCTCTTTCTTGCAATGGGCTTCCTGTTCTTGTATCTTGAGGGGAAAGTGCATGAGTGGAAGGACATTGGTATTATTAATAATAAGTATTAATGTGGGCTAGCTTAGGGAGACCTCCCCACAGATGTTCTGCTGCAAGTAATTTTAGCCAGTGGATTTAGTTGCTCAGGATTTAATGTATCACACTGGTTTCCTGGCTGGAGGTTGCTGTCTTAGTCCTGTCAACTATGAGACCTTGCTAATGGCCCTGATTCTTGGTGCCTTACCAGAAGTGTGAGAGGAAACAGCAATGTCATAAAGAAGTTATGTCAGGGAGAGCCTGGCAGCTGCAACTTGAAGCTGTAAAATGTGGGTTTAAGTTTAAATGAGGGTCAGCTTCCCATTGGAGTAATCCAAGTTTTAACCAGGCAGCCAGCCAAGAGCTGGCAGTGATTAGTCAGAGCCATTATGATCTGTGAACACACTTGTGTTGACCCTGTAGGTCTCTTGACTTGAAAACATTAAAAACTTGACACAATTTGGTCCTAAAATTATCATTGAGCCCCTCAAAGTTTTATCTTCCATAGGCATGTGCAAGAGCCAGTTGCTGTCTCTGCAATTAGATAAATTTAAGTTGGTTTTAGGCTTTGAAGCAATGCTGAGCTTTGTGTAGGAGTTGGACAAAAGGTTAGGTCTTTTGAGAAAGTCCCTGCTTTGGGCTCTGTTTCCTAGTCCCAGTCTGTGACTGTCTCCCTGGTCCTGCAGCCACCTCATTGCTGATAAGAGATGCCATTTCATCCTTAATCATTGCAGCTGACAGCAGCCGGGATGACTCACCCACAGCACTGTTGTTGGAGTGTGAGTTTAGCCTCCAATTGTGCTGGGAGGAGAGAACAAGTGGGAAGGGTTCCTGAAGAGGCTGAGTTGTTCCTGCCAGCTCAGGGCTGCTGGCAGGGGGCTCAGGCACTGACAATATTGCTGGTCTCTCTGAAATCTCACTCCTGACATGCCTCAGTAGGGGGTGAAAGGGTGAAAAAAAAGGGACACAATCCAGGTTTGGCTTTGTGTTGTGCTCAAACTTCTGCGTGGTTCTTCCTTCTGCAGGAAACAGTCACTCTGCAGGTGAGGCGTGAAATACATCCACTGAAGAAATTGAAAGAGACTGTCTCAGCAGGGGAGGGATTTGAATTCTGTTAGATTTGGGGGGGAGGTTTCCAGCCTTCCTTGGATGCAGATTTCCCAGGGGTGATGCTTTTTCTCCTGCATGTGATTTTTGCTTTTGGCAAGCTGCCCTTTGGCGCTGTGTGTTGCTCGAGATGAAAGGCTGGAGCAAAGCATGTTCTTAACACTTAGGAAACCGGCTGTGTTGTCAGATTCACCTTGAAATGCTGATGAACAGCTTTGCAGGGGCCAGCCCTTGTGTTACCCTGCCTTGTCCAGGCTGCTGCCTTGGCTGTAATTCATTGATGTGAGGAAGACCATGGCCTCCCTTTCTAGTAGAAACAGCAGCAGGAGAGACGAGTTGAGTGAAGACACAAAGAAGGAATGGTTTGGTTCTAGCCTCCAGTTCTGGAAGTCTGGTTCAGCCTTTGAGCTTGCACCCTGTGCTGATGTCCTCTCTGTGGTAAGAGAGTCCTACCTGGGCTGTCCCTGAGCAACACCACTTCTCCTGGTTCCCTCCTGAAAAACTGTCACATTCACCCATCCCATGATGGGATCTTCCTCTTGTTGTCAGGATTTGGTTTTCTCTGATAATGTTGAGACATGGGAGCTTCAGCTTGGGGAGATATTTTCAAGTGGATGGGAATAGCTGAAGAAACATCACTTGGAAATGTGTGCAGGTCAGGCACTGAGAGCATCCTTGGCTTGGCATTCAAGTCAACATTTCTGGTTGTGTACAGCAAAGTGATGATGGGTTGTTATTAGGAGTATCTGCAGTGCAAGGGAGACCCCTCTGCTAGAGAAGGTCTCTCTGTAGCAGGTGTGTGTGATTCTGATGGTGCCTGGTGTGATCCATACAGTCAGTCTGGTGGCAGTGCTCTGATTTACAGCCCTTACCAGTGCTCTGGTACCTGCACTGGCACTGCAGTGTCGGAGATCTCACCCCCCTTCTCTGATGCCTTGCTTGCTTTGTGCTGGTAAATTTTAGGAGCAGCTCCTGTAGATTTGTGTAAAGTCAGATGCCTTCTCTTCTTCCTCTTCATCTTTCCTTCCAGTATGCCTGAACAGTGTGCATCTGACAGGTGGTTGTGCCCCAGGAAGAGCTGTCTGTTCTCTGTTGAACATCACAACCCTTTTCCCTCTTTGCTTCTATCAGCCAGTCAAGGTTTGTGACAGGGGAATGCTCTGACTGCTGCACCATGTTGTTCCATCTGTGGGCTATGGGAGGGTGCCCCAGGTGCTTGTCCAAATGTGGCATCTCAGGAGGGTGCAATGGGGGATTGCTCCCCTTCCCCATCTGTATTTCCTCACCTGAGAGAAGATGCTCCAGCACAGGATTTGGTGTCAGTGCTGGCACGGCTTATGATACTGCAAATGGTAGCGATTCCAGACTGCTCCAGCCCTGCAGCATCTCCTTCCTCTTTCCCTTCCTTGCCCTCCTTGGGCTGCCCACATGTCTGCATAGAGCCATGGCCATTCACCCTGTGGACAACTCTGAGTCTGGACTCCTCTTTTTTGGCAGAACAACAGCTTAGGTCAGCTGTAAATTTAATTGAGCGGCACAAAGGATTTAGTGCACCTTGTGGATAAAAATTGCCTTGGGCTGGACAAAAGAAACACGTGGCATTCCCTTTCTCTCTTTCTGTGACTGCTTAGGCTGTGGTTGTTTTTTTTTTCCCTTTTGTCTCCCACTCCATGACATATAATGCAGATGTTATTTGCATCCTGGTGTATCTCAAAACACTATGAGGCTTCTTACTAGCAATGATGAATTTGGTGTATGCAGCATAGAGCTGTGATTTCCCTCAGGGTCCTTTGTAGTAATAATTTCTGTAAATAAAGGCTGGAATTGGGGTCTCTGTTGTAGTAGGATTTTATTTGTGCAAGGGCTGGTAGCCATGTCCCCCTGATGCTGCCCTGTATTAGGATTGTAGACTTCATGTCAGCTTTGTGTGTGGGATGGGAAGGGTGGGCTGGCACAGAACACGCTTGAAGGGAGGAAGAGGAGTAGGACTCATCTATGGGAAGTGTTGGGATGTTTGTAGGCCAGAAACACAGTGCTGATGGGTACCTCCACTTTCCTTTGAATTTCTAGGTCTCACCAGCCTGGTTTGTATTCCTGTCAGGGGGGTGGCTTTCTGTAAAGACCCCATGGCCAGGGTAAAGTCCCCATCCTGCATAAGGTACCAAAACCTGTGAGTCTTGGAGGAGAAGGAAGAGCTGGAAAGGAGAAAGTCTGAACAGGCTCTTGCTGCTGCTGTGACTGCATTGGTGTGTGTGGAGGAAAGCTGCAACCTCTTCATTCGTCTCTGGACTTGCAGAACTCGTGATTCCATGAGCTGGTGACTGCGGTGACCCACACCCTGAGGCAGCTGCCTTTCCGAGAAGCTCACCTCTATAAAACACCCACCACTGCTGAGAGAGCAATTTGTCAGCCCCCTCGAATGAGGAGTGCCAGAAAAGGATGCCTTTATGCCTGCTTGGGAGAGAGGTGAGCAGAGGCGCGTGTGCGATCGCAAGCCTTGGGGGCTGTTAGATTTTCTTCTCACCTGTTCTGTCAGTAAGAAGCGCATGGGGGAAGCACGTGTGTGTTCACACATTCACTCTGCCACCCCTGCTGGGTGCAGTAACTCTTCCTGTGCTGGTGAAAGGATGCTGATGGAAACTTCTCTTCAGCGGGAGGACTGGTGGCTGTGCTGGAAGTGATGGGACCTTTGTGCCTGGGCTGCTGCAGCACTGCAGAGCATCGTTGTTGCAGGATCCTGAGCAGCTGTGGGTGAATGTAACACGCTTTGAACATATCTCAGACATGTTGGTAAATTAAGATTTTTATTGTTGTGTTGGCTGTATCTCATCCTGAGTTGGTCCTGTACCCAGGTTAGGTGGGCTCAGTACCACCCAGTGATGTGAAGCTGAACTGTAGCTCTACTACACTATGGAGGTGAGAGGCTTTTCCTCAGGCAATGATGGCAAAGGATGCATGCCAGGTTCTGTGTCAGCAGCAGAGAGTTGTGCTGTTCTCAAAAATAACCAGGTGCCAGAATTGTTTGTCATGTGAAAAGGTGTGCTGGCACTTCATCCCTCCCTGGCATCACCTGGAAGGCTCAAGTGAGCTCTGACAAAGCGTGCACACCATTCACAGTGTAATTAGCACCACAAGTCTTGCTAATTGCTGAGGGTTTTTTCTCTTCCCCCTCCTTTTTTCCAGCACAAAATTTTTCTAGTTATCTTGGGTTATCATCATGGTAGACAGTGTACTAAGCCTGGATGCTCCTTCTGAGGGCTGGTGTCAGGAATAATTACTGCCAAAGTAAGCTGATCAGCCCTTCCTTATTAGCTGCTGTTGTTGTTACTCGACATTGATTAGTAATTTGTAGCTGCCAGTGCTTTCCTCTGCATTCAAAGCCCAGGGTTTGTTGGTGCTGTCCTGCCAAGGACAAATGAACGTTTTCCCCCCTTGCCACCCTGGAGCCTTCCTGTCTAGAGTGTGGTTTTTAAATCTCCAGCTCATGGCTGGGAAAGCAGCAGCAGCCCTGTCTGGATGCAGACTTTGCAGGTGAAAATTGCTGAGGGTTCAAGCTGGCTGCAGTAGTGGAAGATCTTGTGGTGAGTGACCCAGTGGTGGGACACTATTTGTAATTTTAGGCTGAGAGCTTTACAGTGATGCCCTCAAGTCCTGCGTCATCCTGCTGGTTGGAGAGGTCAGTGGAGATGACACCTTAAATATCAAATGGCTGCAGAGAGATCTGTGATGTTTGTAGGTGGCTGCTCACGTGTGTTCATGTCTGAGCTGGTGAGCAGCGGTGAAGACAGGTTTTGGAGGGGAATGAGGAGAAAACACACCTGTAGCCTCTATCCTGTTGTGAACTGTTCGGTTTGTTTTGAAGACAGGCCACTTAGCAACTTGAAACTGCAAATGCTGTGAGAGGGGGAGCCTCCCAACCAAGACCTGGGGTCAGGGGTCTTTCCTCAGTGCTGACTCTGTGTGTGTGTGTGTCTGTCTCTTATGTCTTTCAGCTGCTCCTATCTAGGTCTGAGAGCCACGTGCCATCACTTGTTTGTCTGACCTGCTGCTCTGTGGACCAGCCATGCCTGTCAAAGCAGGGTCAGAGAGCAGAAGGCAGGCTTGCAAGCCTATGCTGGGATGGAGAGAGAAATGTGGGCAAAGGAATAAAGGAATGCAAGTGCTTTTTGTGTTATCTGTGTCTCTTGTGGCAGCATGTTGTCTCAGAACCTCAGCAGCAAATCTTCTTAGCATTTTGGTTTGTCCAACATGGCCCCTTGCAGAGTGACATCCCAGGAGATGCTCTCCCATCAAACACCTGCATGCAGACAGTAACCTACCCTGTGCAAGCCCTCTGTGGAGGGGACATGGAGGAAGTCTTGGGCTAGCATGGAGCAGAGCATTGTCCCCATCCATCTCTGCCAGCTGTGCCGCCAGTGCTGGGAGGCAGCGTGTGCCATCGCTGTCCATCGGACACAGCAGGTATAAATCATGCATGGGCAGCAGAGACGGCGGGGAACGCGCCTCCCCTCACCCCTACTCTGACTAGAATCCCTGTGATGCCAGGGGGGTGGCAGGGGGCAAAGCTTGATGTCACTTCTTGGCACGGTAAGAAGATGTTATTCAAAGAGACTGTGACCTCTCCTGGCACGCAGAGCGCTGCCGGGGACCTGCAGCCCCGCGTCTGCGGCAAATCAAATGATGTGCGGTGGGACAGGAGGGCTGGCACTCAGACATCCATCACCAGCCTCCTGACTGTGCAGGAGAGGAAGAGAGCTGCCAAGAAGCCTCCCCTCCATCAGTCCTCAGAGGCACCGGTAGCTTAAATCCTGGGGTGTCTTCTTACTCATCCATTAGTGGACACTAACCACAGGTCCCTGTGCACTCACCTTAATGGCTGCCTCATCTGGACAAGTCCTAATTAAGACTGAGGAGTGGTTTCTTTTCAAAACCTGTGCTCAAGTGTGTTTTTCTAGTTTCTCACCTTCTCAAATGAGATTTCCAGGGCTCAGGCTAGGTGATTTTTCTTTTCTTTAGTAGTTCCAGTGATTCACCAGTTTAAAAACGTGAGAGGACTGCAGGACACCCAATCAGGCTTCCTTTCTGATCACACATTCAGGGGATTTTATTATCTTTTCTTTTCCTCCCCAGAGAGCTCAAGCTCTGAGGTAGCTCAGGTAGAAACCTGCAAACCACAGAAATTAATCTTTGCTGACAAAAGCTTTCTGACTAAGCACTGGTCTGGATTTGAGGATGTGCTTGACGCTCCCTGGTGAGTTTGCAGATGTGGAGGGAGCACTGTGGCAGTGGATCACAGAAGGGTGTGCACTCACCATGGGGCAGAGTTAGGGGGTCCAGGCCACTCTCTGTATGTGACAGTGACTGTGTAGTGCTATTGCTGGGGATCTTGGAGGGTGAGACCAGTGACGTGTTAGGGTCACTGCATCTTGCTTGAGGCTGCTCTGTAGGGCTGAGAGGTTTCTTCAGCTTGGAGGCCACATGCTCCAGCTCCTTTTCTTCACTGGCACAATCCAGTCTACACCAGTGACTTCAACGCGCCAGTTTACCTAACATGAAGATGTTAACTTTGACCTCAGCTGATTTCCCTGGCCCATCCTCTTCCATGTGATCTACCCAGCTTCTTGTCCAGCTTGCCCCTGCTGTGGAGGCCACCATCCCAGCCACAGGAGCAATGCTAGGCCTTGGCTGCTGGTTCATGTATCCCTGGAAAGGGTAGAGGCTGCCGTGCTCTCCCCCTTCCTTGTGCTTTGGGGTAGGTGTGGTTTCTGCAGCACTGAATGCACCAGTGGAGGACGTTGCAGGCAACCCTGCAAGTGTCCCATGTGTTCACTGCCTAAACAGTGGCTCTCTGTGGAGGGCCTGCCTCCCTCTGCTGACAAGGATGTGCTGGTGGTGTGCCACTCTGGTCTTGTGTGATAGAGGCAGCAGACTGTGAGAGGCTGTTGACTCAGAGAGCAGCATGGGCCAAAAAATGTTGCGGAGAATGTCTCTGATTTGAGCCGGTGTCTGCTGGGATCTGAGCCTGCCTTTACAGAGCACTTTGGGTGGTTGGCACTTTCTTGTGTGCAGAAAGAGTTTGAGATGCTCAGCTGAGCCCGTTGCTTTGGCACTCATTTCCATTTCTCAGGCACTGCAGCGATGCTGCCGTGGTGTCTTCCCCACAGGACAGCTCAGTCCCCTCAGCATGGTCTGCCCAAGGGTGTAGAGAACCTTCCCCAGCTCACATCTCTCCAAGTGGCTTGCCAAGGGCGAGACAAGCTTTCAAACACCCCAAAGCAGAAGGAACAATTGTTACCTGAGCCCTGGCCAAGCTCTCCTAAGGAGAAAAGAAAGACCCAAGTGTTGCAACATCCCTTATAGCTCTCTGAGCAATGATGACTGAAATCTCCTGGACTCCGGCCCATGCCTCAAACGTCAGGTTCCCTGTCCCTTTTGACAGCTTTCTTCCCCGCAGGTGCGTGGGGAGTATGGCAAACCCTGGCAGGCTTTCCCAGCCCCTCTCACAGCAAGGCAGCGAGCCTCTAGATGGCAGCGTTTCTGTTCAGGAGCCCAGCAGCTGCTCCAGGCCAGCTCCGTGCATCCCTTTCGTGCCAGGCTTTGGAGAAGCTCCGAGATTAACGCTGGGCTGAAGTGGACAGCTTAGCACCCCGCTGCCTCTTATCGCTTCCTCAGTGAAAGTGGCTTGAATTTGTGACCTTAGGGGAGCAGGGTTTAGCAGGCTGGACAGGAGTTTCTGGCTGTCCTTCCCCACCATGTGATGAAACTGGCTCAGGATTGATTGCTGGGACAAGTGCCTGTTGGTCAGGAAGGTAACAGGGATTTTGGTAGTGGATGTCCTCTGCTGTGACAAAGCTCAGCTAGTTTTCTGTGTGTGCTTGAGGATGCAGACGGGGGATCTGCTCTTCCCAATGTGTGTGGAGGCTGCCTGTGAGAGACTAGGCCCTTGTCTTTGGCTGGAGGAGAGTTGGGAGCTTAGGGAAGGAAAATGTAGCTGGAGAGAGGACTGTAATTGCTCCTCCACACTTGGAGCTGTCACTTGCTGTCACCTCCTCCCTGCACTTGGCTTTGGTCTCTGCCTGAGTGATGGGGATCCTGGGCTGAGTACCCTCCTCCTTTTCCTGGGCTTCTGCTGTGATGCTGAATGGAGACCACACCTCAGAGCCTGTGCCTGTGTTTATCTTTTCTCCTGGATGCCAAAGTGACAGGTACTTTCTTTGTCCATAAAAGTGTCAAGGGAGAAAGATGGAGGGAGCCTGGAGGCTGCTGTCCCTCATTGGGTGCACTTGATAGCTTTTATTTAAGCTTGGGGCCAATCTTACTTGGCTTCTGACCACGTTTTATCATGGACTCAACTCATTTGAGATCAAGAAGAGGAGAGGAAGACTGGGAAAACCAAGGATGTGCTCCTGCCCCTGAGCACTGTGAAATGCAGCACATGCAGAATGGGGTCCTGTAACTCTTCCCTGTTACAGCCCTCCTGGAAGCTGGCAGCAAAACTCAGGCCCTTGCCAAGGCCCTGAGAGCTGAGCAGGGGGAAGGCAAGCACCATGTTCAGCAGAGGTCAGGGCCATTTGTACTCATGGTGCTCCTTGGGGTTTTATGAATCTAAGTGTACCCTCATGGTGGGACAACTGGGTTTACTCTGTGGACCACAAATAGAGGCTAGACCCAGATCTTTCTTGAACTTGGCTGGTGTGGTGACAACAGCTGACCTGGGATCTCGGCCAGTCTCCTCTTCAGCTAATTCCTACCACTTCCACTAAGGAAGTGTTGACATGGGTGGGACAGCATTTCTTTCCTGTATGGCAACGATGGGAGGAGCAAGCCCTGCTCCTGAAGCTCTCCTCTTGTACTCCATCCCCTACTCCCTTCTGCCTTCCTGGCCTGGCTGCTCTTGCTCCCCTTCAGCACTGTGGAGGAGCCTGGAGCTGCTCCTGAGCAGCAGGATGATGCTGGTGCTGCAATGTGTGGAAGGGATACTGGATTTCAGGGGCTTCAGGAGATGCCAATCGTTTCCCAGCTCTGCCACAGCAGAGGAGAAATCATTCCTATCTCCCTGTGCATCATTTCCCTCTGCATAAAACAGACAGGGATCCTTTTCTTGCCTCCTTGTGTCGATGCCAAAGGAGAGAGACTGGTTCCTCCTTGTTTTTCCCCCAGCACAGATGATAGTCTCTTTGGGGTTGGCGTGGTCATGCCTGGGCTTTCCAATCCCCCAGGAGACCTTGGAGCCTGGCTTTGCAGGCGTGTGGCAGCACAGATGAGCTGCCTGGCTGTCCCTCAGCCTCTCAAGGCCGTGAGACAGCTCGCTCCCAGCCTCTGCAGGAGCTTTCTCTGCCAGTCCTGCACCTGCAGCCTGGGAAAATGGCTCCAGTCATGCTGCAGCAGGCATGGACAATTGATTATAAGTGGTCATAGATTACCTGGAGCAATGCTATTAAATTTAATACACTTCTCCACCGGCTCTTGGGGCTCAGCCTTGGGTTGTGTAAGTGACATCTTGTTGCAAAGCATTTTGGGGACATTGCAAGGGGCGGGAGGCAAAGAGATTCGACTGCAAAAAGAGTAAGAAGAAGATGAGTTTCTGTTGAGATTTATTTCCTGCCTTATAATTGCTCAGAAAAGCTGTGTAAACCTTCTCTGTTTGTGGAACAAATACTGCAAGAGTTACTGCTCTGACCTTTTTTTTTCTTTTCCACTGGACAATTGTCTGTGCCCTTGCTATTCTGAAGCCTTGATATGCTGCTGGCAGATTTATGCTATGTTGAAACCCAGTTCTTATTGCCTCAGAGTTGATTGGAAGCAAGGAAACTTGCTTGGTGAAAAAATAAACCCGCTACCATGTGCCCTGCATTCCAAGCTGGGGTTGAAGTTTAGAAGTCCTTTTTTCCTTGTCAGCTCCTTGTCTCCTGCCACTGTGTCATATTTGAAAGGCAAGGGACCATCTCCAAAGAGGATCACCACTGGATTTAGGCAAGAGTGAGATACCTAATGAGCAACCCACGCTGTGATGCAGCGAGGCCACTGCTTCCTCTTGAGGGAAGGGTTGTTCAGCGTGCAAGTCCTGCCCTGGCTTAACAAAAGCTTGTGGCAAATCCCCATGTGGACGCTCTCACATTGATTTGGCAGCTGCTAAATTTGGGAATAAATCCACCTTCCATGG